GTACGTACGTACGTACGTACTCTCTCTCTCTCTCTCTCTCTCTCTCTCTCTCTCTCTCTCTCTCTCTCTCTCTCTCTCTCTCTCTCTCTCTCTCCCTCTCTCTCTCCAGTCAGGAAGAGAGAAGTGGATGGAAGAAAAAAAAGCCGATGGCATGGAATCGTTCGTTACTCTGTGGAAGACGTCAAGGTGGATGGACCATGGCGAGGAACAGAGAAAGAAAGGAAGGAAAAAAGAAGGACGATGAGGCATGGGAGCTCCAGTGGCCTGCAGCTGCCTGATAGAGCAGTCTTCGCTGATGCGCGAAATCGACGAAATCCGCACCTGTGGAACGAATACACAGGTCCAGCCATCCCTCCTCACTGTGGGTGAACTTGGGGACACTCTAGCATCAATGGGCGCCTCTTCTGGAACAGGAATTCAATGTGTAGATTCTATATTCCATCGAAAAATATTTCCAGGAATTTTCGACAATTCTTGAAAGTGATACCAAATGCTTAGAATTATACAGTGAATGAACGAAATTTTACTCGAATCTTTCTTTGAGTCTCTTTATATAAATTTAGATATTTTTTCTTGCATACTTATCTTCTGTCATTTTTTGTACATTTTTCAATAGTTTTCTTCATTTTTTAAGAATCCAAGTTCTGTATTTTTATTTTTTTGGAATATCTTGATTGTTTTTAATAATCTATATAGAATATATATAAACTTTAAAATTACTTTAATAAATTATATTGTATATAGACAAAAAAATATAAAAATTTTAGAATTGACTTTACATTCTCACCAGTTTTTTCTTTCCAAATCTGCCACCAATTTATCTTTTCCAGTCTACATTGTCTAAAAAAAAAGAAAAAAAAAAAGATTCGAGTCATTCACCGTTACATTAAAGTCGTTCAATCTTCCAAGCTCTTTTAAATCCTTCCAAATTCGACCATCTTGCCTAAAAGCTCGTAAGTCGAGAAAGTTGAATGGTCATCGCCATCCGCATCCTTTCCACCCCTCTCTAAGAAACATCTTGGAGAGGACGAGCCTTCCGTGGCAACCCCATCCGTCTATTAATCCGATCTTTTGTGCCCGCTATCGATCACGACTGCTCACAGTAGGGGGCGTCCACGAAGCGTTCGACAGCGTTCTTTCCTCTGGTGTAGTTCGTGCAGGTATTTTCAGGTAAAGCCACACGCTGCGCCGGCGAAAGGGTACGCGACTTGTTTTCGACCATGGGAGCCACTCGTCGACGGAATATTAATTATGTTAATTACCAGCCCGATGAGACTGTTCGACGAGTGGAACGTGCTAAATGAGTTTCGTTAGTTACGATTGCTCTCCCTTATGGGGCCGATAACGCGTCGCCAGGACGTGGAACACGCGTGCTACGTACCTGGATGTTCTCTTATTGTGCGAACTGATTCAATCGGCCGGCCCGAATTTATGCACCGAAATTTTCTTGGGATGAGGATCCAACCCGACATACGTAGCTGTCTCGAAAGGTGTTTATGCGTGTCTTTGGAACACGCGCGGCGATTAAAAAAATTCTGTGTGGAATAATTTTGTACATTTTATTGGGGAAACGAAGAAGAAACGATCGCCTGTAAATATTATCATAACGAGGAATGGGTATCTTTATATTTGTTAGAAGAAATTAATAAAAAATAATCAAACAATTAGTTAAACAATTATGAACAAATATGAAAAAGGAATCTCACTGGTTTCATTAAACCAAAAAAATTCCACAAAGTACTTTTCATTCGTCCGAATCTCTGAAAGCAACTTAACGCCTGTATCACGATTTTAATCTCTCAAGCCTTTTCTCGTGGTACGAAAAAGAGGAACGAAAGCCAAGGTGCACGAGCAAAGATCAAGGAAGCGCAGGATGATGCTCGCATTCCATGGTGGCCATGGAAACAAAAGGAGGCTTCCTCCTTTGTCTCACGAGGGCACACCCTCGTGTGCCGCGGCATTATCCGCCGGTGACTCGATATTATATCCATCGAGACGAGTATCGACGCGAGCAGGGAGAAGAAGACCGCTCTTCTTCGACCTCTAATGGCACGTTGGTTTTCTGAAAGCGGGCGACGAGTCCTAGACGCTCCTCTAACCCGGCAATTTCGGTGCCCCACAATCTGCCAGATTGCATCCCGCCTAGAAGGCGAATTATCCCTCTCGTTCTCTCCTCCCGATGTATCTGTATCGGTATATTCGAAAGAAAGGAGGCGAAAGGGCAAATAGAGAGAACTCCACCTTTTCCCCCGCTGCCACTTTTGAGCCGCTTGTAATTCCGAAACGAGGCGTTTCTACCTTCCACGATTTCCACGATGGATCTTCTCTGTGTGCGTATTCGAGTGGTATTCCCCTCCCTCTGCCTCTGTCTCCGAGTGGTATAATGACAGAGTTTCGTGGGTTTCCGGGAAGGAATGGAGCAACAGATCCCCGTTTGATGTGACGATGAATCCAAAGGATCAAACGATTGCAATTTTATATCCATCGAGGGGGGGTGTGGTCGGTTTAATTTTCATCTTTGCTATCCTGGATCCATATAAAATTTGCGAAATAAGGTTCCTTTAAGGTTCCGTTCAATATAATAACTCGTAGAGTGGTTATTTCGATCTGCTCTGTTTAATAAATCTTTTCGGATTTTATATACGTATATAGGTATGGAAGATTCTTCTAGTAATTCTCCATTTTGTTGGAATAAAACATCAAACGAAAGGTCATTCTCAAACAAGGTAATACTTCACGTTTGATCCCCGAAAACTCCAGCCCCGTCTCCCTGGGAAACGGAAAAAAGAGATCCGTGCGGGAAAAAGAAGGAAAGCCTCTTGCCGGAAGAAAGGAAGGCAGGCCAGAACGTTGCACAACAATCCGGATGAGAAGAAAAGAAGGAAGAAAGGAAGGAAGGAAGGAAACGTCATTCGACGCGCATTCTTGGAACGCGTGCCCGGCAATTTTGCGGCTCGAGGATGCCTTCACAATTAGCGGTATCTACCGAACCGGCGCATTCTTCTTGCGGATGAGTGTCCAGGTCCCACGCGGCAACCCCTCAAGGCCATCCCTATCCTTCTCGCTCCTGTCCGCGGTTTTGTCGTTAGGCATTAATTGAGCCCGGGTTCCGTGAGATTACAGAGGATCCTCTTCCTTCGTTCACAAGTATATAGCAGTATATATATATATATGTATGTACATATATATATATCCCGAGAAACCGAATGAATTTCAGCCCGCGATGTCCCCTTCTCTCTCCCTCCCCCAATTCTCTTTTTCTCGGCCGCGTTCCTCATTTTCTTCTTCCCTGGCAGAACTGCCCGGGAAGCAACCTGTTATTAAGGGACCCCGCCGATTAGATTGCGCTAATGGCGAACCGCTGTCTCCTCCGGAGAGAAGAAAGAAAGAATCGGCCGGCCGCTCTCGTCCCCTCCGTTTATCCTCGTCTCCTCTTTTTTTTTTCATCCCCACCTCGGCGCGATCCTGTGTTCCCAAGGACACGACACGCTCTAGATGGAAAGATGGAGGGGAAAGAGAGAAAAAAAGATACGTGTATATATATATACACGAAGAGGTGAGTTTTCTCGTTTCCTTTCCACTAGTAGGAGCTACTACGTAGCAGGTCGTGATTCCATTAAGGGAGGCTACCTTCGTTGATCCTTCGGTATCCTGTCGGAATCGTGGCGATTCCCTCCCGCGCTGGATTCGGCAACACTCTTTTAAGCGCCTCGTATTTCCCGTGGGAACGCGACAGACCCCCCCGACAAAGGCACGAAAAACGTTTAATAAATAAATTGATCGGGTTTCTTCCTTCCAATTCCCTTTCCTCGTTCTCCTCTTCTTCGCACGCGTTGCTCTCCTCCTCCTCCTTTCGAAACCCCGAGCTTCCGTTCGAAAGGTAGGCCGATCCCCCTCCCAGGAAACGCGACACCATGGAGACCTAAGCTCTCCAACTCACGTTTCATTAGCGAGCTAATACCCGGGCGACGTTTCTGCCTCCGGGAAATTATTTTTATTCGTATTGTTGTGTCGGGGCACAATGGGGAGGGACCGCGTCGTTGGTGGCTGCTGGGTAACGCATATGGCTCGCTGAGAACGAAGCGACGCTGAATTTTCGAGTGCCCGATGTTTCACGCTGATTGTGATGCAGTTTCAACGCAACAGGATCTGGGTCGAGTCCCGCCTGGTTTGACCTACACCGGTCGATTCGAAATCCGCATTGCGAATTTCGAGTTTCCGGGCTGGCCTAGATAAACTCCTGCGAAGGATTATATGCGCAGGAAATTATAAAGAGAGCTAGCTAGAGCGGAATATTCAAATGGATGATGTACGTTTAAACTTTTCGTAAAGTAATTTCGAATAATAAAAAATTTCTGATTTAATTGTTTTTAGATGTAGTTATTACCTGTAATTGATGCTATTAAAATCCTCGAAATGATGGATTCCACGCTATTATCGAATACGTGTATAGGATGTTTTAATTAATTAATTTAATTAGTTACATTGAAAAAGAATTTATTGGCTTTCAAGATGTAATTATTCAATTACAGGTATGGAAGAACAAATCGAATAAATTTAATTACTCCTCTGTATTTAATAATTGGAAAATATATAATCGATTTGTACTTTATATTATAAGAAAATTCATTGCATCCGGAAATTATAATTTTATTGAAAGTTTTTTGTGTACAGAATAATCGGTTATACAATTATATGGAGCAATTTTTTTATCGAAAAATTTCTTTGACTAAAATTATTCCCTAAAAAAAGTTATTTTTCAATTTTTAAAAATAATTTCATCTCGAAATATTTTTCACAGAATGACGAAATATTAAAAACTAAACATTTTATTTCATATAAAGTTATAAAGTTTAAAAGAACAAAGAAACGTTAAACGTTGATATTTCGGTAAAAAGAATTTCTATAATTAACGAATGAACACTTTTGCAGAGTTCTTTTTAAATTATTCACAACTATAAATTATATTCACTTGAATATACAATTCGTAATTACTTTGAAAATATTTTCGAAAACACGAATAAAAATTCAAAGGAGACAAACATGAATAAACAACATTTTTCTTGCGAACCAATCGATTAAACAAAATATTTGATTTTTTTACACGCATATTTTTTTCACATTAAACAATCCCAACCTGTGCACCAAACCTATTTCGATCCAAACGGTAGCAGAGAGGATTAAAAGAAAGGAACAAAAGCCTCGCCTCGAACCCTCCCTCCCTCCCTCCCCAATACAATTTCGCAATACGAAATCACCTTCCGGATTGTCGCGTTTCACAAACCGCATCCACCGAGCTCGCAAACTAACCGATTCGAATATTCGCCTCTCGAATATTCGCCATATGCTCGCTCCACTCGACTCTCTCTCTCTCTCTCTCTCTGAAAAATTCTAAACCATCGCG